ATATATTTTTTTTTTTTTTAAGATTTATTTATGCATACAGAACTGGTGTACATGCCAGTAGCGCCAGGGGTGAGAGGATTCACCAGAGGCAGAGTGGGGAGCAGAACAGGCAGATGTACTGAAAAACACTGCTGAGGAGAGCAGCAGGCAGGTCAGGAGAGGTCTGCCATGCTATGTGGGTCACCTCCCTGGTCAGGGTTTGAACTCATGCTGCAATGGCTGAGGTAGCTTCATAATGCTGTGCTTTAACCTGTTGCACCACCATGGAGGGCCCCTGCATCCTTCTATACTTCATAAAATTTTTATATAATGAACACATACCACTTAATCTGAAAAAATACCTAATTTTCCTTTTAGAAAAGAAATGAAATTTTTTTTCTTCGCTTCAGATTAGTAAGAAAGATAAAATGATTAACTGATCATTAGCCAATGTTGTAAAGGAGAACAAAGTGGAATCTTACTTCTTTACAAAAAAGATAATATTGATCTAAAACACCTCTAATTTAGAAATTATAATATTATCTTACACTTTCCTTTTTGTTTAACTTGCAAAATGTTTCTAGAATCTTTCCATAATCTCATCTTTGTCTCCATCTGGGACTTCTCATCTTGGTTCAAGCCTTCAGTTTTCCAACTTGACTCCTTGTTTCCAGTTTTCTCTTCTCAAAACTAAAACTATTTCTCTAAAACCTAATCTGATCATGTTGCTTTCTAAAACTCATGATGCAACAAATCCTTCATACCATAAAAGGTCCAGCATAATTCAGCTGTACTCTCCCAATAATTCAATATTCTTTCCTGTTTTCACATATACCCTAAAGCTAGTTAAATTATATGGAAAGCCCCAAGTATGCTGGGTAGTCAAACTTCTGTGATTTTACAAATGCTGTTCATACTTCCTGAAATATTTTTCTTTCAGTTTTGCACTTCCTCTCTTTGATTTGACATTTTGACCCATTTCAAGACTAGTCAAGTATCTTTGGAAGCTTTTCTTTATCCAAGGGAATGTGATGTTCATTTCTTTATGTCACATCTTATTTGTTCATGTGTTTTCCATACATACAAGAATGCTGGGCACATATCGGCTGTTCTATTTTTTTGCTGCATGTTTTAAGTGTAACTGTTAGTCTGTTCTTTCTTGCTAAACTGTGTTCTTGGAAGAGTTCCTCTGACTGGTCATATTTAGAACTCTTGGTTCAATGCCTGACACAAAGTAGCAAATCAAAAATGTTTAATGAATAAATTAATAAAAAATCAATAAAAGAGACAAGAAAAAGTCTCCTTATTACAGCACAGGTAGCCTATACCACTTAGTTGGAACATGCATTCAAACTACTTTAAATTGTGGTTAAATATTAACATCTCAGTATCTAAATTTCCCAACACAGTAGTTTCTTTTTGTTAGCATAACTTTGTGTCCTACTTAGTGTTGTTGCAAAATGCAGCTTCCATAAAGATGATACATATTTGACTGATTATCTAAATGAGCTGTTAACAGTCCTAAGAAGCTTCCTTGGTATGACAAAACTTTCCAGGCTCATTTATTTTGCTCTTGACTTTTAGCTGAAATCAGTTATTTCTCTAAGAAATCTTGATATCTTTTCATGAATAATGATATTGTAAGACCATAAGTTAGGCACTAAGGATACATACTATTACTGGATAGTCACTGTTTCCAGGCCTGATCAGTAGAGAGAGGGACAGAGTTAGAAAATACATGCATATGTGTGCATGCTTCATTAGTTCATATTGATAGCTTCAATACAAATTTAAAAATAAAGAATTTTTACTTGACATTTTTTTTTCTGTTGCATCTAGAGCACCTCTCTTATACACCAGGAATCTTGATTATCAAGGACATAAGAGATTATTAGATGCAGAATTAAAATACCCTATATTTAGGTATTTATCATATACACATGGATTTCATAAAAACAATCACGACCAATGATTAATGATAACACAATTTTTGCAAAAGACTTCCCTAGTTTTCAAACCTATTTACTTTACTTGCACTGTTGATATATTGTTAGAACATTGCCAATATTAAACCACATTTTCTCCCTTTTACATCCTGTTTTCTTCCTTTAGAAATATATTTAAAGTTTCCCACAGTCTTATGTTGAAATCTCCCTTTCAGTTTGATTGTTTGAAGCTCATTTTCTACTGGACTCCTGAAGGAAATCATCAAAGAAACATTATTCTCTGAATTCTTGTACACAATTAGCAGTTTATCCTTTACTCTCACAAGTCATTTGGTTATCTCATGTTACTCCTATTCTTCTAACATAAAACAACTGCTGTCAAACTGTGATGGGAACCTAATTTTCTTTCTCTTATTATCAGTAAGTCACATGGTCCTTTTCTCTAGATGACCAAAGCATTTTTTTCTTTTTATTTAAAGTCCAGTAATTTTACTAGGCATATGTATTGGTGTTTGCCATCTTAATCAACATTCTCGGGCACATGGTATACAGGTTTCCCAGAGTATTAAAAGTGGAATGATCTTTGGTAGGTAATTTTTGGAATTTAAGAATGCTAAAAAAATTTTCCATTCAAATTAACTATAAAAGTACTCCCAAATCCAAAAAATAACCCATCAAATCATATCAAACAACATTCTTTGCTTGTATAGTAGAGAATTCTGTATTCTTCTGACATAAAATTTTAAATAATTTCAGGGAATTTTCCTTAATTAGTTTTTGTATTTGTTGTTATGTTGCTTTAGTTTCTTTTTCAGGAGCCCCTACCATTTATTTTCTTTGGCTAACATTCTCATTAGTTGTTTTTCTCTTGAATCCTTTTTATCTTTTAAAATTTCCTCTTATTTTCATCTACTTTTTCTTTTTATGGTATCATTTGCTCTTGTTGCTACTATTTTAGGCTTCATTTCTGAAATAATTTTGTCATTTATGTCTAATTTTTCCTAGGTTTTGCCACCTTATGCTGAGTTTTCATAATTGATGTTATTTTATTATCATTTTCTTATCTATTTTAGCTCATTTTGAAATAGTTATAGTTGGTAAGCTTAGTGTATACATTTTTATTACAAGCTTTTCTTTTTTTAGTTTGTAGGGTTGCTTGTTTTATTTCTTCCTGTATCAAAACTTTGTATGTTATTTGACCTTGATCATTTTTATGTAAATTTAATTGTTCTGAACTACTAGTGTGAGGAAAGATTCAAGAAAGCTTTAACTTAATAAAACTCCCTCTTCCAGCTGGTAGTAAAACAGGTTAAAGTACAGCACTATGAGGTTATCTGCAACCACTGCAGCACAAGCTCCATCCTCTCCTACCCCCCACCCCACCCCCACCACACAAGGGGGTTGACCCACAAGTCATGGCAGACCTGTCTGCATCTTCTCCTCAGCAGTGTATTTCAGCCTACCTGTTCTACTCCCCACTCTGTCTCTGGTGAATCTTCTCACCCCATGTGATATCTGTGGGGGGGTACCCCAGTTCTTGTATGCATAAATGAATAAATCTTTGAAAAAACTTTTTAAAATATTCCCTCCTCGTTTGTTTTCCAAGATTTTGTGATTCTGTAATCCCCCTTCTCCCCCACACTTTTATTGGTATCTTTTCCTCTCTAGTATCTCTTCTGATAAAATTTTGTTTCACTTTGATCAGTTTACCCACAGGGTCATGGTACCTTGGCAAGTCAGTTTGAAGAAGTTATAGGAAGTAGATTCCTGCTGTATGTTTAAGCCCCTCAAAATAAGTATTGTTAATTGGCCCATACAGCCTTTCAATAAATAGTGTAGAGTTCTGTAAAAATGTTGCCTATCTTCTTTCTTCTTCCCTTGCAAAGATTTGAGTTCTTAGAAGTCTGCTTCACCTACCTGAATGTTGGAATTTATGGGGATATCCTGTTATATAGTTCTGTTCAAACTGTGCTATGGCTTTTAAGTTTTGCTATATGGTTGCTCTGTTTTTTATGTCAGGAATCAGAGATTAAAAACTATGATACTATCACTTTTTCTGAACCCACCAAGACTTTTGAATCACTGTGACTTGATACTGCTATTTTAAAGTAAGAGAGTAGCTGCTAACCCTTTATAGCATGTTTCTTTCTGTTAACTACACTGATCAAACATTTTTGAATGACATCCTTTGATCAAACAGGTTTTAAACCTTAGTGTTCACATCACAAAAGGAATTTTGATCAGTTACAAAATTCCTTAAGTTAAGGAGACTTCAAAGTATTCATCAAACAAAATTATGTGTCAGTAAAGAGCACAGGGTAAAAATTTATTGAACAAGTATGTATTATCAAGTCAATATGAATAATAATCACTTTTTTTTTTCATTTTAGAGATAAAGTGACTAATACAAGACAGGTATTCAAATGTTGTTAAATAAATGATACCAAACAGAAAAGAAAAAGTAAATGCCAGTCTGTTTATCTCCATTTCCTTAAGATGCTAGGTACCTTTTTTTTTTTTTTATCATCTTCTTTGTAAAGAAATGTCTCTTTAAATCTAGTGCAACTCACCCTTCAAGTACATTAAAGATAAACTGTCCTTTTGGGTTTTTGTAAGCTTTTCCTTTTATACTAAATCTGACAGCATTCCTGAGACAAAAAATTCTTTCTGGAAGATTAACCCTTCATGCTTGCAGTACTTCTTAGAAAGATCAGGCCACAATTAAATAGACAGCATGGTGTTTGCTGGATTATTTCTCCCACGATTAATGCCATGCTATCCACGATAACTAATTCAATTACCTATATAAATCCAAAACCGATTTTTCTGTAGAAAATAAGATGTATCGAAATCATTAAATGTGACACTAACATCACATAAAGTGTAGTTTACCTAGTAGATGACTGCATTTTTGGAATCCACATATAACCGCTGCCCTGTGGACATTATGCATTTCTTATTATAGCTAGTATTGTTTCTCTCACAATTCATTTCTTTCACTAACTCACACAATGAAATCTCCCAATTACACCGCGCCCCTCACCCAGTCCAATTATTATTATTATTTTTTGCTTCTTTTGGCATACAAAAGATAAAAGCAAGAGAGTAACAAAGGTCTGAATATAAGCCACCCGCCACGTCAAAAGTCTAGGCATTGGGGGTGGGGTGAGGTGCAGATCTCGAGACAGGAAAAGTAAACAAGGTGATTCAACTGCGGAGGCGGTTATTGTTTCGTGCTTGGGTCCGGTGTTCTGGACAGGGATGGGGCACTATGAGGGCACCCACGAATCCAAGGGACGACGCAACCTGCAACTCCCTGGGGGAGGGAGAGGACGGAGCACACACTAAAGCGTCCCTCCTCACACTTAATTTCAGAGGGGCCGCAGGCCCTGCCCGGAGGGGAGCTGTCAGAACTGCCGTGAACCCCGCGGCTCGGCCCACAGAAACGTAGCCTGCGTTCGTCCTCCCATTCAGATCATGCGGGTGTCCTCAACCCTTCCGTTCCCCTTTCTTGGCCACGCATCAGTCAGAGGACGAGCAAAAAAGAGGCTGGAGAGCCCGAGTCCCACGGGAGGTAGAGGGATGGGGCAGGGATGGGGCACTAAGAGGGCCTTGCGAGCTGCTGGCCTCTGCATCACTCACCTGATGCTCTTTCACCACTTCGCTGAGGCAGGGATACCGCTCCGAGATCCATCGGTAAAACTTGGGGACTCCCATTTCGACCGTCAACACTAATTCCAGTCAAGGCCAAACCGAAACCAAACGCCCCGCCGAGGCCTGCGCCGCCGCCTCCCGCCGTCGCTCGGCGGATGACAACATGCCGCCCAGCCGACCATAGAGCGGCCGCCGGGCCTAGAGCGCCGCGCTCAGCGGGGCGGGGTCTGGACTCCCGGATTACGCTTCAGAGCGTGGAGTCTTGTGCGGTGTGTTTCATTTAGTTCTGAGAATACGAGCTCCTCTGTGCTCTAC